GCGCCCCCTAGGGAGCCCCCCGCCCTGGCGCTCTGCGGGGGGATTAGACGGGAGGGGATTCCCTGAGGGAATTTTCCCGCATACCTGCTGCCAAGCAGTGACATCCGCGCCCCAGCCCCCCTTCCCATGCAGGTGTTCAAGTGCCTAATTACAGACCCCGGCTCCAGCCCCCAGGGCATCATTAGCAGCACCTGGGCTGAGGATCCGAGTTCAAAGGCAGCCCTCCCCCCCCCAAATCCAAGAGCCTGAGGTGGCTACAGCTTACGAACCCAGCCGCTCCACCCCAGAGGGGCCGCATCTCAGCGCCGGGCGAGGGGTCCCCGTAGGAACAGCTCCCGCCCCCCAGATCCAGCCGCATCGCTCACCCCGGTAGGCCACGGCGAACCCCTGGGCATGCAGGAGCTGGTCGGAGCGGAAGCTGAGGAAGAGGACGTCGGTGGGGAGGAGGAGGGCGGAGCCGGGGCGGTGATGCCCGTCAAACTGAGCCAGGAGGCGGCGGCTGCGCCCGTCCCGCAGCTCCAGCCGGTCGTTGGGGTCCCGGATCTCGAAGATCTGGAAGCGGAGCTCCACGGCGCTGGAGCCCGGCGGGCGCAGGACCCAGGAACAATTGCTGTCGGGGCCGTAATCGTCCGGGAAATCCGGGGAGTAGATGACCCCGGAGGGGGCACTGAAGTTCCCCTGGCAGGCCCCCACAGACACTGGGGGGGGGAGAGCAGGGGTGAGCCGCGGAGGGGAGGCCAACCGGGCTGAGGTGCAGAAAAGGTTAATGATCTGGGAAGATGGTGAACTTCAGCACAGCGCCCCCTAGCGCCGCACTGGGGCATCGGGGCCAGCCCTGACCGCCAGGGGAGAGCGCCCCCTACTGAGCCCCTGCCCCGTTCCCTGCAGCACAGCGCCCCCTAGCGCCGCACTGGGGCATCGGGGCCAGGCCTGACCGCCAGGGGAGAGCGCCCCCTACTGATCCCCCGCTCCCTCCAGCACAGCCCCATCTTCCCTAGATTCTCTCCCTCCTCCCCAGATCCCGCTCACCGTCGTAGACCCCGATGCGGCCGTCCCCCCCGCACAGCTCGCTGGCCTTGCCGAAGCAGACCTGGTCACATTCCACGGCCCCCACGGGCTGGGCCCACCGCAGGTCCCCCTCGCTGCCGCAGAAGCAGGCGCATCCGGCCTCCACGCCGGCGAACTGCGGGGAACAAAGGGTTACATCCACCTGCCCATCCGCCGCCCCTCTAGGGGGCGCCGGCTGCCACCCGGCCCCAGGGCAGGGGCCTGGCTGGCTCGGGGAGGGCCGAAGGGGGGGTTACCTTGTACCCTCGCTTCCGGCAGTATCGGATGCAGACTTGGATGGTTAGTTTGCTGGAGGTGCCGCTGCTGCCGCTCAGTGCCGGGGGGTTGCCTGAGTCCAGGAAGCAGCCGATGTACCCAGGCACTGAGGGGAGGAGAGACGGGGTTAGGGTGTAACGAGCCCCCCCCCCGCTGCAGCCCGGCACCCCTGCCATTCCCTCCCTGCCACGGCAGGGCCCGGCGCCCCCCGCCACTCACTGTGGCAGCTGGGGATGTCGCAGTATTTCCAGTAGATCCCCTCCTCGGTTTCAAGGACGTAGCACCAGGGCTGGACGTCCCCGTCCGGGTTCCGGCAGGCGTTGTGGCTGCCCAGACCCCACTCCCCGTTGGGGTACTTGGCCGTGTTGTAGGCGTGCTTCTGGGTCTGGTTCCAGTAGAGGCAGGGCTGGCCCCGGCCGTCGGGGGACGTGTGGTTCTGGGCCCCCCGGTAATCGGCGCCGTTCACCATGAAGCACTCGGAGGGTGCTGGGGGAGGAAAGAGAGAGGGGTTAGTGAACCCAGGAGTCCTGGCTCCCAGCCCCCCCTGCTCTAACCACCAGACCCCATTCCCCTCCCAGAGCTGGGGAGAGAACCCAGGAGGCCTGCCATCTGGAAGCCAACCAAGCTAAGTTGGTTTACACCAGCTGAGGACTGCAGGACTCCTGGGTCCTTTAACTGGAAGCCTTATGGCTTGTTGCCCCGCACTGGGATGTTGGAGTAGGTGGGTCGATGTAGTGGGGAAGATGCTGGAGGAATATTTTGGTCATGGAGCCTCGAGGAACGAAGGACCAAGCGCTGTCTCCTACCCCAGACAACTCCAGCTGGAGGAAAAAGCCAGGGGTGGAGCGATGGATGGAGTCAACCAGCCGTGTCTCCTTCCCGACCCCAGGACGAATGGATGGCCATTCTTGGAACAAGCTCTGAGGAGCCACCGACAATTGCAAGAGTGTCCTACACCCACATGGGATCCAGCAAAGGAGGGTGGGCCGCTGGAGAAGATCACATTGGGTGAGAGCACCAGAGAAGATGAAGGGGACAGGGAAAGATGAAGCATCTGAGACGACACCGATGGCAAGCGTGGATTGCGACCCTTGGGCGTATCAACAGGGCAGTCGCGAGTGGGAGCAGGGAGGTGATTTTACAGCGGTGGTGAGGCTGACACCAGAACATTGCTCCCACTTCTGGGGTGCACATTTTATAGAGAAGGTTGGAAGACTGGAAAGGGGGCAGGAAATGATCCGACAGCTGGAGAAAATGCCTGACAGCGAGAGACTTAACAAGCTCGGTCTGTTGAGCATCTCAAAGAGATCAAGAGCATGATGGACAAAGCACCTTCATGGGGAGAAAATCCAGACTATTCAAAAGTTCTTCAGATCAAGGGGAGGAAGGCAGAGAAAGAACCAATGTCTGGATGTTGAAGCCAGACAAATTCAGACTAGAAATGAACCACCTGATTTTTAAGGGCGCAGGTGATTATCCATTGGGACAAACTCCAGGGAAATGGTGGGTTCTCCATTGCTTGGTGGCTTCACGTCAAGACTGGAGGTCTTCCTGGTGGACGATACTTTAGTCAACACACACGTTATTAGATTCAATACAGAGGGTCACTGGGCGAAAGTCTCCTGCCTGGGTTATCTAGGAGGTCAGATGAGATGGTGCCTTCTGGCTTTAAAATGTTTGAAATCAATGGAAGATGAGGGTTTGCATGGAGAATGGACGATGGGGAAGATGAAGGGATGGAGCAGGGGATGAAGATGCTGAGATGCTGGAGGGATGAAAGATGTTAGAAGTTGGAGGGAAGGATGGACCATCGGTGAAGAGGTTCATCCCAGAGAGGACACCTCAAAGGTCTGGGGAGTGGAGGGACGGGCAAGCTGTAGACATGCTCCCATCTCCGGACGGTGCTTCTGGAAAACCCAGCCGAGGACCTGGCATCAGCGCCGGAGCCCTTCAAAGGCGTGAGAAGTTGGGGGGGGCCTTCCCGGGGAGGTTATAATTAACGACTGGGCGTGACGACGGTGCCCAGCAGAGAGCCAGGGCTCAGGGCTCCGGCTTGCCCCAAGATGAATCAGAAGACGCATCTAGCTGCGGGGCGGTGGAGGAGTTAGGTGTGCCGAGACCGGATTACAGAGCAGTTTGTCAGGGAGGATCCAGCCCCGGGTGAGATAGGCCCCGATGGGTTGGCTCCATCTCCGCTGGGAGAACAGACAGTCTGGATGATCCTCTCCTGATAGCGAACAGGTAGATCAGCATATGAACAGCAGGTGATTACCAGGTAATGGTTAGAGCAGGGGGGGCTGGGAGTCAGGACTTCTGGGTTCTCTCCCCAGCTCTGGGGGAGAGTGGGATCTAGTGGGTTAGAGCAGGGGGGGCTGGGAGCCAGGACTCCTGGGTTCTCTCCCCGGCTCTGCCAAGGGAGTGGGGGCTAGTGGGTTAGAGCAGGGGGGAGCCAGGACTCCTGGGTTCCATCTCTGGCTCAGGGAGGGGAGTGGGATCTGGTGGCTAGAGCAGGGCAGGTGTCTGACAGCAGAGCTGTGGCAGGGCGGGGAGGGATCCGGGCCCATTTCATGGCCTGCCACATCTGGAAGGGCTGCGACAGCTGCTGCTGGAACAGCTGGAATGCCTCCCTTCCCGAGAGATGCTGGTCTGGGAGGGTGTGGGGGCGGGCAGCCCTGCCACACACCACGTCAACAGCACAGGAAACAGGATGTGGGGGCCATGACAGCCCTTAGAGCACAAGGTGAAGAAGACCCCACTGCCCTCCCAGAGCCGGGGAGAGAACCCAGGAGTCCTGGCTCCCAGCCCCCCCTGCTCTGACCCACCAGCCCCCCGTCTCTCCCAGAGCCGGGGAGAGAACCCAGGAGTCCTGGATCCCAACCCCCCCCAGGTCTGACCCCCCAGCTCCCCGCCCCTCCCAGAGCTGGGAATTCTGTCCTCTGCTCTGGGAGGGGAGTAGGGTCTAGGGAGTTTGAGCAGGGGGAGGTGGGGGGCTGGGAGCCAGGACTCCTGGGTTCTATCAACAGTCTATTCCCCAGCAAAGATGGAGATGCCCCATTGGGGCCCATCTAGCCCATTCCTCCTCCCTTCTGGGGCAGGATCAGCCCCCCCAGTCCTGTAACCAGACCCCCCCTCACACACCTCCCCGTTTCAGTGCAGACGCAGGGCTCTGGGGACCGGCCCCACCTGTTGTCATGCATGGAAATAGCCGGCGTTATGATGGACAGGTGGTTGGGGGGGCGGCGCCGTGGGGGGCTCGGATCCCTCACAAGGGGCTTTGTGGGGCGGGCGTGGAGCCTGCCGCAGGAGGCGATAGGTTTCCTGGCGCCTGGCAGCTGGTGCAGGCAGCTGTCTGCAGCCTTAACTCCCAGCAGGGAGCAGGGCAGTGGTAAGAAACGGGGTTCACCCTGAAGGGGAGGGAAAAAGAGGAAGGGGGAGCCAGGACTCCTGGGTTCTCTCCCC